TGCTTAGCCACTGAACTTAGCCCCAGTAAAGAGCTTGTTTACCATGAGCAGAGAGTTGCATCCCTCCCAACACGGAAAGAGTCATACCGGGCTTTTATAACTTCCCACGAGGCTGTCTGAGAGATATATTTTTGACCCCATATACCACTAGGATCCTTCTTTTCGTCCCCTTTGTTTCTTTATTAAATGTTCTTACTAACCTGTGTTCCCCTGAAGGCTTTGGATCAGGTAAGATGGGGGAACTCCAGGGAGAATTACAGTTTTAAGAGCCTATGGGTAAGTGACACGTCAACTATGGGTGCTAGGTCCTTTCTTGCTTCCTGCTTAACTGGGTATTATTTTTGACTGGGAAAATAGCTGGGGTCTTCAAGCTGTATTTTGTCTGGCACTGCTGTTTTAGCCTTCCCCAGTTTTCTAGTATACCATGCCAGTGGGTTAACCTGTTTATTAATGTGGTCTTGGACATTGTCTGTATTTTTGACTATTAGCAATTTCATTAGGTGATGCTTAAATTATAGTAGTGCCCTTATTTTAACCGTAATATCTCTTCCCAAAAGGGGGATTGGGTAGCTTGATACTACTAGGAAGGAATTCCTGTTAGAAGATTTGTTTCTCAAATTGACAAATCAAAGGAGGAGTGAAAAATCTGGTTTGTGGCTTCCTTTCCTTTCCCATAACACTTGTGGACTGGGAGGAAAGTTTCTCTGCATAAGCAGTAAGAATAGAATAATTTGCCCCTGTATGGAAAAGAATCTGAATTTGAGTGCTCATGACACCCAGAGTTACTAGGGGCTCTTCTGCAGTAATTACAATCTTCCTGGACAGGGGCAGTGAGAAAGACCCCGGGCCACTTCAGTCTTCATCTGATTCCTCCTTTCACACTGCTAGGTGTGTTTTCCCTAACCCAGCCCCTCAGTGGGAGCAGGGGCAGTCAATTCTCAGTACCTGGGGTCACGACTGGTGTTTTGCATTGATGGCAGGAGACTGGAGAGGGCTTAGTGCATTCCTTTGCCCAATGCTCACTTTTCTTGCATTTGAAGCAAGACTTGCCTTTGCTGGCATTATCTTTATGACCCTTCGGGTTTCCCTTAGATGCTCTTTGGGCATTCAGTGCATCACCAATGATGGCTGCCATAATTTCCACTTGCTGCGTTTCTTTGCTCTGTACCCTCTTTCCTTCTTCCAGGTCATGATTGCTATACACCATAAAGGCAGTATCAAGAATCTGATTTTGATTAGTTTGTGGTCCCAGCTGTAGCTTTTGGAGTTTATACCTAATGTCTGGGGCCGATTGGCTAATGAAATGCTGTGCCATTAATATTTTGCCCTCGGGAGAGGAAGGGTCCAGATTAGTACATCTTTAAAGGCTTGCTCCAGCCTACCATAATGCATGGCTGGATTTTCCTCCTTGCCTTGTGTAACCTCCCTTACTTTGTCGTAATTTACTGCCTTAGTTATTCCCTTTCTCATTCCTCTAAATACAGCCTCAAGAAATTTAGCCCGGTGATTCATTCCCATGGGGGCGTTATATTCCCAATTAGGATCATAGTGGGAACTGTGTCTGGGCCTTGGTAATTGCCCTGAGGGTTTCGGGCAGATAATTCATCCACTTCCCTGCCGGCAGCCTCAAAGATTTGTTCCTTTTCTGAAGGAGTGCCAACAGGTTGCTAAAATGAATTGACCATCTCTCCATGAGAGATCAAAGGCTAAGGTCAAAGTTTGGAATCCATCTGCAAATTTCCTAGGATTCTTGGAATAGCTTCCTAGCTTTTCCTTACATTGTTACATATTAGTTATAGAGAAGGGGGCCTGCACTAGGACTGGCTCCTCAGCTCCTGCCACTTCCCTAAGATGTAACAGGGCTGGAAAGAGTTGAATATGGGGACTTAGTAGGGTCTCTGGTGTTTGCTCCTGGGTTTTAGCCTCAGGAGCACTTGGCAAGAGGCCATATGAGGGTGGTTGCTGTTCACCCTGAGAGACAGGTGGCCCTTTTAAGAGGGGGTCATCTATAATATGTAGTTCTCCCTTAGAACTTTCCTTTGCGAGGTGGGTTCTGAGTGTTTTGCAGATTGTTAGGTTTTGGTATAGGGTCATGAACATCTGTATGTACAAGATTCCTGACCATATGCCCTGCCTCTTGCAAAATAAGTCTAATTGCAGGATGGTGTCAGAATTGAGGATACCATTGATTACCCATTTTTTCCCAGTCTGGGCAGCTCCTTATGGAGCCAGAAAGCACTGCGGAAAAAAAATTATATGTTTTCTCCTTAGATTGTCAGGATCAAATTGATTCCGATGGTGGAGGATGTAGCCAAAAGGGAATCAGGTGGAGAGTTGCCCATAGTGGTCTGGGAAAGAGGAGAGGACTTTGAAAAGTGGAGGGCTCAACAGTGACCCAAAGCTTACTCAGGGCATACACCTGGAAAAATTCTGGGCCCAGACTCGGGTCCCTGGGAGCATCCCCCGATTAGGGCCCTGACTTAGTCTGTCAGACGTCTCTGACATTAGATGGGTGCCAGCACTGCTTTGGAATGGTTCCCTCCACCACTGAAGACCTACTATAAACTCTCCTTAGGGTTTTCCCATTCTACTTAAAGCAACCCTTTAACTCTCTCAATTTAGGAAATGATAGACTCCCTTTCATGGATCCCCCCCCTCCACTCCTCATGCACCACACAGACCATCTATGACACGCCTGGACTCTCTGAGTCATATAACATTTTTGCATAGCTAGGAGGGTTTTTTGTCCTTAGCCAGTTGAGTCGGGGAAGGGAAGGGAAGAATTTAGCATAAGAAGGTTTATGTCACCTGAATTATGTGTGAGTTTGCTCTGAATGAGCTGCTGCTGCCAACTGAGACATATGTAAGCATCAGGGACAATAATCAGGAAGGATAGAAAAGAATCTTTCTCCCTTCAGGGCAGGGCAATCATTCCTGTTTACTAGTTGGCTTCAGAGAACACTGGAGAGTGTTGCTGGCCAGTTCCCCTCAATTACTAAGGAACTAGTAGGAAACGACCACTGAAAGACTGAAAAAGCAAAAAAGGAAAAGAATTCGGGGGAAAAAAAAAAGGAATAGGACTCAGAAAAACGAAAACAAGAAAAAAGACTCAGGCCCCTCATCCTAACCAGGCGGTGGCGGTCAAGTGCTTCCACAAGGTAGCCTTTCAGTTTCACCACAGTGGCCCAGTCCAGAAACTTGCAGCTTCCTGTGCTTAGGCTCTGTCCACCCGGGATTCCGTGCTGGAAAGGCAAAGAGAGAGGGAGAGAAAGATTCCCCTGTATTAAAAGGAAAAAAGAGAAAAATAAATCCCAAGCGTTGGGCCTACCGTCTCTCCTGGCTGGCTTGCCAAAATGTTACCAGTAGAGGGTTTTGACTGAAAGTTGTCTAGGTTCTTGGAGTTTTTGAACAAAGAATTGGACAAAACACACAGCAAAACAAGGCAAGAATGGAGCAATGAAAGAACAAAAGCAAGGATTTATTGAAGATGAAAGTACACTCCACAGTGTGGGAGCAGGACAAGCAGCAGCTCAAGGGCCAGGATACAAAATCTTCTTGGGTCCAAATACCCGCTAGAGCCTTCCCATTGGCCACTTGGTGCTCATCTCATATAAATGAAGTGGTGGCCCTCAATCAGAGGCTGATGTGAAGTCACAAAGGTCACGCTCCCGTGCAAACATCTGATTGGTTGTGGAATGCAACCAATCGGGCTGAAGTTAGAAAGTTGCAGTTCTATGCAATTTTAACATAGAAATTAAAATTTAGCATAGAAATTGAAATGTACTTTCAATTTTCCGAATTGCTGCGCAGAAAAAGTGGGGGTTTGCAACGAGAGTATCCTCTGTTCCTTTTGTTACTTATGTGTGGAGAGTTAGGGTTTTCCTTTCAATTTTGTTCTAGGAAGTCAGAGTGAAATGGCCTTAGTTTCTCTGCCTCCAGACCTGTTCTCCTACCTCAACTGGGCTAGATGAAAGGGAAGAGTTGATCAGAATGGGAGAATCATTAGGTAAAGTGTGGAGCTTGGTTAATAGTCTACCAATGTCATGCTCTCAGCTTTTTTTTTAAAAAAATAATTTTTTATTCTTTTGCAACCTCCTTGTTGCTGGCAGTTGAAGGGGCCCCGGCGCGCGAGCACAAGCTCTGTGCCTGCAGCCTGAACCCTGGGCAGGCCACGGGGAGCCTTACTCAACGATAGAGGAACGAAGAGAGCTTTGTACTATTTTTGCAACTTTTCCGTAAAACTAAAATTAATTTAAAAATAAAAAGTTTACTTAAAAAAGATGATCAGTTGAGTTTTAAATTCTACACATGCATTCATGTACTCAACAGATTGTCTATTATGTGTCAGGCACTGGGTATAAATGAGTGCCTAAGAGTCATGATCCCACCCCTTGTGGAGTTCACAATTTAGTGGTAAGTTCGCGGTACCGGTAACAACAGCCCTGTTATTTTCTAAAAGCAAATCTCCAACTCGTGTAGTAACCTGACAAAATCTTGGCTGATGGCGTGTCTAAAAAGAAGCCTTGCTCTATCCTTTCCTAGCTGTGTGAACTTGACAGAGCTATCCTCCCTGTGTATCAGTTTTCTCAGTGCTAAAATTGGGGAAGAAGAAAAAAGCATTCCCTCTTGAATCCTTAGCATGCGTTCAAGCACTTACTGTTAGTTTTTATAACGGTTATAATTAATAAAAACACACAAATATGGGGAAGCGTAACATGGCAGAGAGCGTGACATTTTTGTCAAGAAGGACTTGTGAGTGAAAACATACAATCCGCGGTTTCCCCAAAGGTCCTTCGGGAAGTGACGGTCCAGGCAGGAGTTCAGAAGCCACAGCGCCGCCCCATCACCCGCCCGGCCCCGCCTCTCCCAGGGGCTCGGCTCCGCCCCGCCCCCGCACTCCGCTCAGCCCCTCCTCTCACCACGGCCTCGCCCCTCCCGCGCGTGCAGCTCGGCTTCGTCCGCTTCGCCCTCGTGATCCCGCACCACCCTCGCGCTAAGCTCCATTGGGCTCCAGCCGCACTCAGCGCCGCCGCACTCAGCTCCGCCCCCTTTCTCCTCCAGCTCCGCCTGCGCCCTGCAGAGGGCAGGCCTTGACGCGTACGTTAGAGAGACAGGTTCCAATGAAAAGAGCGAGGGGGCGCAGCCGAAGTCTCTAGCGTGGGCGGGGCGAGGCGGGGCGAAATTGCCAGTGTCTGGACTCAGCTTTGCATAACGATACATAGCTTTGTGTAACCAATGCAGGAAGGCATTTAAAGGCTTAAAGGCGCCTCTGCCGCCGCAGACCTTGCAGTTAACTCGGCCCGGACCCACCCTTCTCAATGCAATCCCTGATGCAGGCTCCGCTCCTGATCGCCCTGGGCTTGTTGCTCGCGGCCCCTGCACAAGCCCACCCGAAAAAGGTGAGTGCACTCTGCTTTAAGAGGCTGCTTGCAGCTTCCTGGCCCAGATACGGGTGTCAGGGTCTGGGTGAGATATGGGGGTAGCCACTCTGTTCTCTAGAGTTAGTTCTTTCCAGTAGAGCCTCCCAAAGTAACTAGTTATGGGATTCAGGTCTGTACAGTGAGGGTGGCCTCTAAGGACTTGTTCTGCTCCAGGCCCTTTTTGGAGAGATTAATCTCACGTCTGCATTCTCCCGCCTTCTCTCCAAGCGACGACGGTGTGAAAATGCAGAGAGCCTTAAAACTAAGGCACTGTTCACAGAGATTCAGTCCTGTTACCCTGCTCCTGACCACTGACCCCCACTCCTGATGTCCCCATGATAAGGCCTGCTGCCTCATCTCTTCCTCTACTCGAATGCCCTGAACTCTTCCTGAGAGATGGGAGGGTTTGAGAGCTTCTCCAGGCCAGAGGATCCAGGTTTGCCCATCTGGTGACAACTACCGAGGCCTGTGACTCCGCTGCCTGTAGTTGTGAGCCACTGAGACAGCAGTCCCCCTACCCTGTAAGCTTCCTCCTTCACTTCTGATTCACACCGTGCTGCAGATCCCTGGGACAGGGAAGTTCTGTAATCCCTAGACCTGAAAAAGCCTAGTTCCTGGCTTATTTCAACTAGCTCAATGTCTTCCAGATTTAGTCTATGTTGTTGCAAATGACAAGATTTCCCCCCTTTTAAAGGCTGAAATAGTATTCTGTTGTGTATACCACATTTTCTTTATGCATTCAATTTGACGGCTAATTTCTTTATCCAACAAGTGTCTGTTGATGGACACTTACTTCCATTTCTTAGCTATTGTGATTAATGCTGCAATGAATACGGGAGTGCAGATATCCCTTAGAAATATTGATTTCAGTTCCTTTGGATATAAACCCAGAAGTGGGATTACTGGTTCATATGGTAGTTCTGTTTTATTATCTCACTTATATGTAGAGTCTAACCAAGTTGAACTTACAGAAGTTGAGAGTAAAGGTGGGGTCTCACTCTGTCACCCAGGCTGGAGTGCAGTGGGGCAATCATAGCTCACTGCCACCTTGAACTCCTGGGCTCAAGCAATCCTCCCACCTCAGCCTCCTGAGTAGCTGGGACTACAGGTGTGGGCCACTGAGTTCTGCTAAGGAATAGGCTTTGAGATTTATTTTACGCCAGGGTGACTATAGTCAGTAATGTATTATACGCAGAAGCTCCTTAATTTTTCTTGAGGTTATGTTCCGATAAACCCATTGTAAGTTGAAAATACCATTAAATTGAAAATGCTTCTAATACAACTAAGCTGAGCATTATAGCTTAGGCTAGCCTACCTTAAACATGCTCAGAACAATTACATTAGTCTACAGTTGGGCAACATCATCTAACACAAAGCCCATCTCATAATAAAGTGTTGGATATCTTATGTAATTTATTGAAGACTGTACTGAAAGTGAAAAACAGTATGGATACTCAAAGTACAGTTCTACTGAATATTTATCACTTAGGCTCTATTGTATAGTTGAAAAATTGTAGGCTGGGCATGGTGGCTCAAGCCTGTAATCTCAGCACTTTGGGAGGCTGAGGTGGGCAGATTGCCTGAGGTCAGGAGTTTGAGACCAGCCTGTCCAACATGGTGAAACCCTGTCTCTACTAAAAATACAAAAATTAGCCGGGCATGGTGGCCCATGCCTGTAATCCCAGCTCGGGAGATTGAGGCAGGAGAAGTACTTGAACCAGGGAGGTGGAGGTTGCAGTGAGCCGAGATCGCACCACTGCACTCCAGCCTGGGTGGCAGAGAGAGACTCCGTCTCAAAAAAAAAAAAAAAAAAGGAGAGAGAGAGAAAAGAAAAGTTGTATGTCAAACCTTTGTAAGTTGAGAACTGTGTGCATTTCAAAACAACTAAGAGAATACATTTCACATTGTACCCCATAAATGTATACAACTATGGTTTGTCAGTTTGAAAAAAAAAAGCAAGACCAGGTGCAGTGGTGCACACCTGTAATCCCAACACTTTGGGAGGCTGAGGTGGGCAGATTGCTTGAGCTCAGGAGTTCAAGACCAGCCTAGGCAACATGGCGAAACCCTGTCTGCAAAAAATACAAAAATTAGCTGGGCTGAGGTGCAGAGATCGCTTGAGCCTGGGAGGTCATGACTGCAGCTGAGATTGTACCACTGCATTTCAGTCTGGGTGACAGAGTGAGACCCTGTCTCACAAAAAAACCTCCAAAACAAAAACCCAATTCCATTGCCTCTTGGCTGCTAGCAGTGGGCAAGCCATCAGACATTTCTGGTAGCAAAGGGATAGGGCCACCCTAGATCCCCTCCCTTCTACCACCTTGCTAATGTTTGTCTGATAGTGAGGAACAGTGCAGTGTACTGAAAGCAGGGAGGCTTGGCTTCTGATCCTTCCCCTGTGTTAATCCATGGATTCTCTGAGTCTTGGTCTCCTCATCTGTGATGTGATGGTGCCAACCTGCATCTTGTCTTGGAGAATTGCCAGTGAAGGGAAATACATTCATTGATGGAAAAGTTCTAAAATTGGAAACAAATAAAGCCCTATAACTCTATAGGCTTGGCCTCACTCTGCCCCTGAGGCAGAAAGTCTATTTTGCTTGTCGAATGAAGGAACGTGGACCTTTTGATTTCATTTGACTGGAGAATTTATACCTTGCTCCTGAATGTTGACTGTGAATGTTTCTCTTGGCTCTAGGGCTGGCCACTTCATAGCAGAGTCTGGCTAGAGGCTGCTAGCTTACCCTACAAACTTGTTCTCCTATATGCTGTGGGTATGGATGCCATCTCAAACTAGAAGGTCTTAGATTGGCAGTTTTGAAGAGGCCCTGAGACACTATAAAGGTCACTCAAAATCACACAGCATCTACATCTTCTCAGGGCTCATGTGGTTCAGAGCCCTGACCTTAAATCCCTGGGCCAGATAAAGTCTGGGGGGTGGCAGTGAGTGTTTGAACAACAGGAAACCTGAATTTCTGTTCCTCTTCTAGCATAGCTGGCCTTGTGACTCCAGGCTGTGAGGAGTATTAGACAGGGGAGGATATCTAACCCCATGCTAATCATATAGCAGGTGCTTAATAGACTCTGTGGTGCTGGATAGTGGCTGTCATTTGTTGTACACATACTATGTGGTATGTACTGAGCTATGTGCTTTTTTCCTAAAAAATGTTCTTTGGAATAATTTTAGGTTTATAGAAAAGTTGCAGCAAGGCGTGATGACCCACGCCTATAATCCGGCACTGTGGGAGGCAGAGGCAGGCAAATCACTTGAGGCCAGGAGTTCAAGACCAACCTGGCCAACATGGTGTAACCCTGTCTCTATGAAAAATACAAAAATTAGCCAAATATGGTGGCGTACACCTGTGATCCCAGCTACTTGGGAGGCCGAGGCAGGAGAATCACTTGAACCCAGGAGGCAGAGGTTGCAGTGAACCGAGATCTCGCCGCTACACTCTAGCCTAGGTGACAGAGCGAGACTCCGCCTCAAGAAAAAAAAAGTTTCAGAGATAATATAGAGTTTCCATATACTCCTGACTCAGTTTCCCCTGTTAGGATCTTATATTATCATTGTACATATCTCAAAACTAAGAAAATAACATTAGTACATTACTGTTAACTGAATTCTAGTCTGTATTTGGGTTTCACCAGTTTTCCCATTGATGTCCTCTTTCTGAGCCAGGATCCAATCCAGGGCACTGCATAGCCATTGTTGTCATGACACATGTTGTTGTGTCCCCACTCTCCTCTGGCCTGCGACAGCTTCTTAGTCTTTCCTTGTTTATCTCGAGGAGTTGTGCCCTGTGCTTTCTGTATACAAACATCATGCCCTCACAATAACTCTGTGAGAAGATATCATTATGTCCACATAGTAGATGAGGAAATTTTGAACCTCTAGGGGGTTAACTTACCCACGGTCTCAGCTAACAAGCCTGGCTGAGCTGGGATTTTAATTCATACCTGTAGTGCCCATATCTCTGCCCCCAGAGCTGTGCCTTTCCCCTCTGCCTTGTGCTGCCCCTTCCCACTTGTTGACTTAGGCTGGGTTGGCCGATATCTGGTGCCCGGCCTGGTCTTGGTAGGGATTGCTAATCCATTACATCTCCCTTCCCCGATGATCCTGGACTCAGCAGCAGAATTTGTCACCATAGAGACAGCTGGCCGGACGTTACCCCCAGGAAGCCATCTTGTTACGTCTGCCCCAGGGCCTGGGGAATGCGGAGCTTGGAAGAGGGGAGAGAATTCTTCTCCAGTAGGCACTCTGGATGCCCTGCCCCCACCCCCAGCCCGGAATCAATCCTCGGTGTGGATCAGGCTGCCTTAGAATCTGTGAAAGCATCCCCACCCAGAAAATGCCTAGTCCTGCTCCTACGTAGCCCTCCAGCCCGACTCTTAATTCCAGGTATTCTTTCCCTTGACCATTTTCAGTCTGTTCACATGCACAAATCACAGTGTAGTACTGTTCTTCAATGGGGTTCCACTGCACCTGTAGTTAACGCAACCTCCTGAGTATGGCTTGTGGGGACCTACATTAAATGACCCTGCTGCCCCTCCAGCCTCATCTGGGTCCCTCGTCCATGATGTTTAGCCCATGGCCTTCCCCCAGTGCCTACAGCAGTCAAGCTTCTTTGAGCCTCAGGGTTCCCTTGGCCTGGAACATTCTTTCTGCACTTACATGTCTGACTCCTCATCCTGTAAGAGCCCAGCTTATGTATCACTTCCCCACCACCCTATGTAAGTGAGTCTTTTGTTGCTATTGGCGTTACCTTCTGCACATTTCCTTGTGCACTCACAAATCATAGTGAGTGATATTTATTTGCATTAGACGGTAAGCTACTGAAGGCAGGGCAGGAGCCATGTCTGATTGTTTACCACTCTTGCCACAGCGCTTAGCCCAAGGCCTGTCATCATTGCTCCATAAATATTTGTGGAATGAATGTTGAAGGAAACATTTATTGGCAACTACCCTGTCCTGCCTTTCTTAGTCATGACATGAGCTTTCATTCCAAGGGGTAGGAACTCATTCCTAAAAGCTCAGGTAAAGGGGAAGTTTATTACAGAGCTACAAGATGTCTTATGGCGCTGCCGGCAGGAAGCGGAGGCTAGGATGCTAATGGCTCCCACTGAGTGAGCCGGCTCTCCAGTTGTGTCTGGCATTGGGTTATGAACTTTACATACACGCTCTCGCCCTTGCAACATCCTGGAGAGGAAGGTAGACCTGCCTCCAGTTAAAAGATGTGGAAATGGAGACTCCAAAGGGGAAACTGACCGGTAAAATCACATAGTGTGGCAGAGCTATGATTTCCACCCAGGGTTGTTTGGCTAAACTCGTCCTTCACCCACGTCTCTCCAAAGCCAGACCCTTCACTGCTACTCCGTGCTGCTTTTATAGACAGGGAAGTGGGACTTCACCTGTTCCCTTTTCCACAGACCAGCAGAGCCCTTAGTTCTTATCCTTCATTAGCTTCCACTTGGTCATGGGTCACAGATCTAGATGGTCTGTCCTCAACCCAAAATTGAGGATCCAGTGACAGCACAAAGCCCCCATATCCCCAGCCTTTTATGCCTTAATTCCAAAATTGGGCAGAAAGAATCCATCAGCTTAGCTGAGGTTAGGTGATCCTGCTGGGTCCAGTCAGTCATGGGAGTGTTGAAGGTGGGGGTCCGCTTGGGGGTGTGGGACTGGCAGGTTTTCTCTCTGAGGCAGGGTGTGGATGGAGGGCGTGCCAACAGTCTCTCATAGGTGGCCTCTAGGGGGCTGGGAGAGGTGAGAGTGGGTGGGCAGAGAGTCTGCATGGTGGGGGAAGTGCTCAAGATTGTCAGACAGGGTCCTGTTGGAGTGGGAAGTGGCGGTCGCATACAGTCACATGCAGATGTAATGGTGGCAGAATCAGGAGACCTGGGGGATGTGGAGGAAGAACAGAAAGAACAGCTCAGCAGCGTGGTGGTGGTTGACCCAACTGGGCACATGGCATGAGAGGTGGGATGGGAAGAAGAAACCACTGGTTAGGACTGGGGAAGTCCATTCACTGGGGATTATTCATCAGCAAGTGATCCACTGGGGATCTTTTCATGGGTGTCCTATTCCTTCCTGAGTTAATCACCTTCCCCCTTGAGAGTGGAATTTCAGATGCTGTTATCTGTGTTCTGTATTTCCCATTATTCCTGGCTCTGCGTTGGGTGTGGGGTGTGACATGAACAAGGTCCTGGGTATGGGCTGCAGAGGTGAATCCTCCAGGAGGCTGCCCTCTGCTGGGATCCCAAGGCTGGCTGGAGAGGAGCAGGCAGCAGGGAGGTGGGAAAGCAGAGAAGGCGCCCACCAAAGGCCAATTAGGTCAGTCTCCTGTTTTGAAGTTCCAGGTCTGTCATATTCTGCCTTATAGTTTACAATATACTTTTGTGAGATAATGTCTTTTGAGTCTTTTAGTTTAGTCTTGTCTATAAAATGAGCAGGGCAAGTGTTATCCCAGGTTCATAGGTGTGGAGCCTCATAGATGACGCTCAAAGACAGAGGTGCCTCACCCAAGGTCACACTGCCAGGAGCTCGTTTTTCCTACGATCTGTGATAGTTTCTTTTGTTAACCTTTTTCTTCTCCTCCTTCCTTGCTGCCTGATTGTCCCTGGCCCTTCCAGCTACGTAAGTTTTCCTGGGACAACTGTGATGAAGGGAAGGACCCTGCGGTGATCAGAAGCCTGACTGTGGAGCCTGACCCCATCATCATTCCTGGGAATGTAACCCTCAGTGTCGTGGGCAGCACCAGTGTCCTCCTGAGTTCTCCTTTGAAGGTGAGCCTGGGGGTGGGTGGGGAAGGGGAGGTGCCAGAGGCTGGCTAGCAGGGGCACTGGGGCACATATGCTGGGGGAACTGTGAAGAATGTCAGAATCCTGGATTTCCAGAATAGTATAGGACGTGTAGATTCAAATATTCGTTCACAGGTTCATGGAATCTCAGGATCATCTGATTGAAAGGAATCTCTGATGTCAGTGCCAGCAACTTCCTGGTAAGGGCAGGAGTGACAGATACCTTGAGCCTGGCAGGAGCGTCCTGGCCTTCTCTGGGCCTGATGGCCAACTGCTGATTATTGTCTGACAGCTCTGGTTGGGCAATTTGGTTTTGTTGTTAATTATAAAATCAATACATCAATTAGCCAGTACTACATAGTCACTTTAGAAAACACAAGCGGTCAAAAAATAAATAAAATAGGCCAGGTGCGGTGGCTCATGCCTGTAATCCCAGCACTTTGGGAGACTGAAGTGGGAAGATCATTTGAGGTCAGGAGTTCAAGACCAGCCTGGCCAACATGATAAAACCCCATCTTTACTGAAAATAGAAAAATTAGCTGGGTGTGGTGGCATGTGCCTGTAATCCCAGCTACTTGGGAGGCTGAGGTGGGAGAATCACTTGAACCCAAGAAGCAGAGGTTGCAGTGAGCCGAGATCGCACCACTGCACTCCAGCCTGGGTAGCAGAGCAAAACTCTGTCTCAAAGATAAATAAATAAACAAATAAAATAAATCACTAGAAATCTCACTACCTAGTGATAGGGGATAAGCACTTTTAACATCTTATAGGACATGCTTTGCAACTTTCCCCATACAATTACATGTGTAACATACATACTTATTTTTAATGGATATGTGTGATAATAGGCAGTGCTCATTGTAAATGTCCTCCAGCAACCTAAATCCTAGAGACAGCCAGTGTTTTCTCTTTACATATCCCGTCAGAATTGTTATGTGTTTGTAAATACAGACACACTTATACTCATGGTAGTACATGATATGTACTATTATACTTGCTTTTTTTTGCACAATACTATATGTTCCATATCACTTTCCAAGGATTAGGTGGCTCTACATAGTCATGTTTTTTACCCAATCATTATTTTATTTTATTATTTTAATTTATTATAATTTTAGAGACAGTGTCTCACTCTGTTGCTCAGGCTGGAGTGCAGTGGTATGATCATGGCTTACTGCAGCCTTGACTTCGTGGGCTTAAGTGATCCTCTTGCCTCAGCCTCCTGAGTAGCTGGGACCACAGGCACATGTCACCATGCTTACCTAATTTTTTTATTTTTTATGGAGATGGAGCCTCCCTATGTTGCCCAGGCTGGTCTTGAACTCCTGGGCTGAAGCAATCCTCCTGCCTCAGACTCCCAAAATGTTGGGATTATAGGTGTGAGCCACCCCGCTCAGCCCATCCAATCATTTTTAATAGCAGAAATATTCGGATGTAGATCTTTCATAATTTATATGACAAGTCTATTGGTGAACATTTAGTTTATTTCCAGGGTAGTGTTTGTTTGGTTGGTTGGTTGTTTTGTTTTTCTTTTTTTTTTTTTTTGAGTCGCAATCTTACTCTGTTGCCTAGTCTGGAGTGCAGTGGCACCATCTTGGCTCCCTGAAACCTCCGCCTCCCGGGCTCAAGCAGTTCTCCTGCCTCAGCCTCCCAAGTAGCAGTGGCACCTGCCACTGTGCCCTGCTAATTTTTGTGTCTGTACTGGAGATGGGGTTTCACCATGTTGGCCAGGCTGGTCTTGAACCCCTGACCTCAGGCAATCTGCCTGCCTTGGCCTTCCAAAGAGCTGAGATTATAGGCTTGAGTCACTGCACCCAGCCAGTGTTTTTTTTTTTTTTGCTGTAATAACCACCTTATTATAGTACATCTTTTTATAATTTTCTGATTATCTAAATAGACACTTTCTAGGTCTTTTGATACATACTACCTAAGTGCCTCCCAATGTCTGAACCAACTTGCATCATTCCTAGTGAGCACAGATGTCTATTCATACGTTTATTTGCCTTTTGTATTTACTTTGGGAATAACCTGTTTGTTTCCATCCATTGACTATTTCAGGGGCGGATGTTTTTATATTTTCTTACAGAATAATGAAGACTTTTCATATATCCATTGCAAAACCATTTATTACGGTCCTTTACTCTCTAGCTAAAATTGCTACCTTTATATGATGTTCCTCTATGCCCTTCAGTCTGTTCCTGATCCAGATCTATTCTGGTACCAGTTTTGTGTTAATCATTTAAAAGAGTACTGATCTGCAATCTGTGTTTCTGTCATTACCCTTAGACCTGGCTTAATCACAGCTCCTACCTTATGGATTTTCCTTGAGCAATACCTGAGTTAGTAAATAATGCACAGGGCCTGGCAGCCAGGACATGCTCAGTACTTGTTAGATCTTGTGAACATTTCAATTAGCATCTGTCTTATCCTGCAGCCTCTTGACCCAGACACAAGTCCTGGATATGCGGCAGCTTTCAGCTCCCCTGCACCTCATACTAAGTCTTTTCCTAGCTGAGTCATTATGTTCCTTTACTGTTCCTCAGGTGGTAGGGGATCAAGCCCTGTACCCTTGGATCTGGGCCAAGGGGTGGAATTATTTCCCACGTATGGACACGGTACTGTTTCCCTGCCAGGATGACACACGTGTGTCGTCCCTCTGCTGAATCTGGAGTGTGGGCTCTCCTGGCAGACCTGCCACTGTGCTCCCTCTCCCGCCATCACTGTGCAACCACAGGCGTTTCTAGGGAGGGCCTGTGTAGCTGACTTGGAAACAAGAAGCTGACAAACCCCCTCTTCTGCCCTCACCCTGCTTTTCCTGGCTCCTTCACAGACCATTGAGATGGATTTACCCCCTACCCTCTTTTTCCATTGTTCTATTACCTGTCATAAATTTGGGCCTAAATAATCTCCTCAGTCTTGATTGTCACTTGTGCTTAGTAAAAATTGGCCTCGGATCCTCTCTGTTCCTTCTCTTTCCCCAAGTTTTTTTTGAGATGGAGTTTCACTGCGTTGTTTAGACTGGAGTATTGTGGTGCAATCTTGACTTATTGCAACCTCCACCTCCCAGGTTCAAGGGATTCTCCTGTCTCAGCTTCTGGAGTAGCTGGGATTACAGGTATGCACCGCCACGTCCAGCTAATTTTTGTATTTTTAGTAGAGACGAGGTTTCGCCATGTTAGCCAGGCTGGTCTTGAACTCCTGACCTCCCAAAGTTCTGGGATTACAGGCATCAGACACTGTGCCTGACTGCCAGTATTTCTGCGTGTGTGTGTGTGTGTGTGTGTATTTAGTTCAGTTCTTTTCTCTTTTTAGGGTATGTGCATATCAACTATTAGATGAAAGCTCTCCTGACCACTTGCTAGGGAGAAGAGATGATGAGGGACAGAGGCTCTCAGGGAAGACTGCAGCTTGCCCCGGGTCCCAGTGCGAGTTATTAGCATGGACAAGGCTGGTGTTTATCTTGGGGCTTGGTTCCTGAGCTTTTACTGTCAGGGAGGTAGACTTAGTGCTTGGTGTATTTGCAGGGGAGGGGAGAGGAGTGCTGCAGATTCAGTTCCAGACCTCTCCCCTTGCCCAGCAGACCCGCTTAGGAGAGCTGCCCAGAACTAAGCTCTAGATGAGCCTGGAGCACTCTTGAGGCCACAGGGCTTCAACCCCTTGTTACACTAAGGCCCAAAGGAGAGTGACTGCCCAAACCCAAGAAAGCAACTGCCATCCTCTCCTTCCCTGACCTCGCTGTAGTGAAATATCTTCAATCAAAAGTCAAATCTGGGATCTGGATAGATTTGACCTTAGCTGTAATTTTTAAAAGTTAAGTGTCCCAGGTTTCCATGGCCATAGGTTAGATTGGGGCCTGCTCAGGAGCTCCCTTTTCTCCTTTGACTTGCTCCATGAGATTTGGCAATGTTGATAACTCCCACTGCCCAGCCTCCCTCAAGTTTCAGCCTGTGGGACTCTGGTTTCCCCATCCTTGAGAATTGTAAATTGTCATTGTATTTATCATATATACTTATTCCAGCCTTTCAGGCCTGATGACTTGGTTCCCCAAGCCCCTGAAGTCACGTGAGTGCCTGGGCTCATGACTCCGCCCTGCTTCCTTTTCTGAGTCATAGTAGCAAATAGATTGAGAATAAGAAATGAGCCATAATTTGTAATTTCCAAATGGCAGGCGTGGCTGCTGCCTTAGAACCTTCTGTTGACTTCAGTTCAGTACGCTTCTTGTGTCGTGCTTGTCCTGTGCTGGGGATAGAAGCAGAGATCAGAGAGGATATATGTCTCAGCAGCAGATGAGGCCAGTGAGAGGAGCAATTTGAATTTGTCCACTCAGAACACAGGATGTGTTGATTTCTTTTTTCTTTCTGGGCCTGGAGGAAGGCAGCTAATATCTTGACATCTGGGCATCTGGAAGACTTGAGCCCATGGCTTGGGAACCAGCAGGAGCCCAGCCGGCTCTGAGGATATACGTGCCTATCCAGGGTTTATCTCTTAGAAACGGAGCCCCAAATAAAATGCTAGAATGTCAGAGCTGAAAGGGATCCTAAAAACGTGATTTCCTGCTGTCACACCCACAAGGAATCAGGTATTTGAGAAAGCTAATTTCCTATTGCACTTCCCTTAGAGTTTTCCCTTGATACTTTTGGTGGGTGATGGACATGGTTCTAAGGGACACCTCATTTGGCTCTAGAGGCAACTAATACATGGTGACTATTCAGCATATGCCTGGGACAACTGGGACTGTCCACTGTGAAATTCTGGCTACTTCCTCCTGGTCAGCTTCGACCTCCAAAATAGGAGGAGTCATGACAGCATGGAGGCGTGAAGTGTATTCTAGATCTTCTCACCCAGCTCTACTCCAGGTACAAGAGTCTGTAGCTTTCCCAGCTGAGTCAGGGAGCCCACTACTCCCTGAGGTAGTTGTAGCTGTGATTTTATACCAGTCCCAAGGTGATCTTTCTCCACATTCCTATTGTTCCTAAATCTGTCTTCTGTGGCTGTACAGAGAAAATGCGACCCAAGAACAACCAGTTGGGTTCATTTTGGTAACCAGTTCATCAGTTGGTAGTGACTACCTGAAGTCCTATGCAGAAAAGGATTCTGGGGCCAAGGCTGGGCTCGGAAGGAAAGCCTAGGAAGCAATGCCACGGTTAACCAATTAGCAGTTAGATGACTAGTGCGTTTCAATGCACGTGTTAGAACCAATCAATTGGTAGTGAGTACCTACAGAATTCTAAGACTATGGGCTGCGCACTGGTGGCTCACGCCTGTAATCCCAGCACTTTGGGAGGATTGCTAGAGCCCAGGAGCTTGAGCCCAGCTTGGATAACAAAGTGAGACCCTGTCGCTACAAAAAATACAAAGTTAGCTGGGTGTGGTGGCATGTGCCTGCCTGTGTTTCCCAACTACATAGGAGGTTGAGGCAGGAGGACCGTCTGAGCTCAGGAGGTTGAGGCTACAGTGAGTGCAATAAGCCATGACAAAAAGAAAAAGAAAAAGAAAAAGAAAAGAAAAGAAAAGAGAGAGAGAGAGAAAGAGAAAGAAAGAAAGAAAGAGAAAGAAGAAAGAAAGAGAAAGAAAGAAAGAAAGAAAGAAAGAAAGAAAGAAAGAAAGAAAGAAAGAAAGAAAAGAAAAGAAAAGAAAAGAAAAAAAGAAAGAAATTCGAAGTTTATGTATAGTTTAATGTAGGGAAAAATTTCACGTTTGATTATTAATGCCTGCCACGGGCACAAGTGTGGGGATTCACTCAAGTTGGTGGCAAAAACATTAAGGGAAACATATTAGAGAGAGCTATAGAATATCGGCTGAAACCCTTTTGGAAGGCCTAGGGGTTTTTTCTATAGTTCTTGGCTGAAGGCAGCCGGAGTCTCTGTCTTTGCAGGAGCCAAAGAGATTAGGGTGCAAATACGAAGGAACGTGAGTAGTTTACCTAGCTAGCTCATTAAAAATTCTATGATTAAAATATACTGCTGCTTTTTTGAAGACACAGAAGAGCTGGTATGTTTGCCCTGGAATTTATACTTATAACCTTTTTCAAAACTCCCCCCAACTTTTTTTTTTTTTTTTTTAACCAGATGGATTTACTTTTGGAGAAGGAAGTGGCCGGCCTCTGGATCAAGATTCCATGCACAGACCAGATTGGCAGCTGTACCTTTGAAGACTTCTGTGATGTGCTTGATATGTTATTTCCTACTGGGGAGCCCTGCCCAGAGCCCCTACATACCTATGGGCTTCCTTGCCACTGTCCTTTCAAAGAAGTAAGTACTTAGGGAGGAGAGAGCGGTACCCCCGCGGCTAAAGAGATGGGTTTTGGGGAGAAGGGTCTTTGTATTCTCCTCTTGTAGTCTGGATGTCTCTGGATCTGTAATCCAGTGTGACCTATCTGGAATCACTTATCTTTTGGGAGCCTCAGTTATCATCTATGAAGTGGGAGACTTGAACTTAGATGTGATCTTTGGGGCCCTTTATCTATAATAATCTATGCTCCACAGTGCTGTGGCAGTCTCCATCTTGTGTGGCCAGTTTGAGAATGGGAAGAGGGGTAGTAGTTCATGTCTACAATCCTAGCAGTGGCTCAGGAGAGAGAGCCCATCAGTAGGCTCCCACTGACTGGCGGTCCTCTGGCTTTCCCACAGGGAACCTACTCACTGCCCCAGAGTGAATTCACTGTGCCTTCCCTGGAGTTGCCCAGTTGGCTCACCACCGGGAACTACCGCGTGCAGAGTGTCCTGAGCAGCAGCGAGAAGCGTCTGGGCTGCATCAAGATCGCTGCCTCTCTAAAGGGCCTATAACATGGCATCTGCTCCAGCAGAATGGTGGGGTATGAGGAAGGTTCCTTTTCCTCTGTCTTGTGTTTGCCAAGGCCAAATTCCTACTCTCTGCCCACCTTTAATCCCCTTTCTACAATGAGTCCCCTACCCTAACTGAAAATCATTTTGTGCAACTTAACATTTTAGGCTGGGGAAAGCAGCCCTGACCTAAGGGAGGATAAGTTGGACAGTTCTTGATAGCCCAGGGCATGTGGGCTGACCACGTGACCCATCCCCATTAACATTCTCTCTAAAGAGCCTCATTCAGTCTCGGAATGGGAACCAGCATGTTTTAGGAGCTGAAGAGTCTTTATGACTTTCTGTCTCACTCTTTTTTTTTGTCGCTAAGTTAAAAGCAAAGTGACAGTATTAATGTTTTTGTTCTACTCCAGCCTCTGTTAGAATGAAGGGGTGAAATGAAAGTAGTTGCTCTTAGTCTATTCCTTCCCTAACTTTTGTGACTAATTTTGATTTCCTTTTTAGATTGGCCCAGTTAATACTAGGGTGCAGTGTATCCTGGAGAGGCAGGGTGTGTCGGGGAGGGATCCCTTGGGGGAGATATTAGGAGTGCTCTGTTGTTTACAAACTCAGGTACCCGCAGGGCCTAGCAAGAGACTTAAATGAGTGACAAGGACCATGAGAAACATGTTGTTTCCATGCTTGATTTCAATTTTTCCTTTTTGATTAAAGATAATACTACAGTGTAAATATTTCTTATACTATACAGAAAGTCACAGCACACGTGCATTGATACAAGGCCGTTGAGGCCTGGTCTTCAGTTGGAAATATAATTAAGGGTGGCAAGGACTGGAGTAGGTGGGAGAGTACATAGCCAGTCTGTGAAGACACCTGCTACCTAGCTATGATCAGTCAGTGCCACATAAGAATGGCGTGGGCCCAGTATTGCCAGATAGTTTCAATGTTTGCTCCTAGGGAAGCCAAAAATCCAGATTTGTATATGAAATCTTACCATTTTAAAAGATCGGCAACTAATTATTTTTTTTTAAACGCTGTGCAGTGTGATGTGTCCCAAACGGACATATCAGTGGGGCAGGCTGGCTCATGGTGGCCACTTCGCAACCTCTGATCTCATACCATGCATACCTTGTCCTTTTTTTTTTTTTTTTTT